TGAATGTATGATGCTATAACATAAAGAAATGAAAGTAGTATGTTGATATTTCTTACGTGGTGGAGTTGATATAGGAATCAATGTTTTTTCCCTCCATGAGATTTACTGAAGTTCCAGGGATCACAAAAGAAGAAGGTGTATCGTAATGTGTCTCTCGGGACACGATTAAACCCGCCACATGTTTGTCATAAAGTGTGTGATCTTGCTCGCCTTTCCCCAAACAAAAGACGATTTTACCCTTTATCATCTCATCTGATAAAGATCCATAGTCGCAAGCACTACAAATGATCCCATATTTTATACATATGTATACATAATCATTCATGCAATCCACAAACATTCTACTTAGATTTTTTTTTCTATAATAGCATTGTACTCAATGTATAATGTGGTAATAAGGAAAAGTTGAAACTATAATGCTATAATTGAGTATATTTTTCAAATCACAAGGGCTCAATAAGGTTTTTTTTTTTTTTTTTTTTTTTTTTTTGAAATAACAGTATTATAATAGAAAGAAATTTAAGTACATAAATATAGGAAAGTAGGTTGTTATTTCAAGCATTTAGCCCAAAACAAAATGCAGATACCTTGCGTTTCTGTATGATTCGGTGGTGTTGGCTGCAAGGGCACCACTTATTAACGGATACATCTTCTTCCTCAATGAAAATGTATTTACAGAAATTCCCTATAAACACCATTTCCGAATGTTATTATAAGCAAGAGTAGCATTTCTGTTGAATTTCTGTGTGTGTCTGTGTGTGTGTGTGTGTGTGAGAGAGAGAGAGAGAGAGAGAGTAACCATGATGTTTTCACCGTTTCCCAACTTAACATCAGCCACAAACTGCCGATCGGTACTTGAAGCAGCTACGGTTGTTATCCACGGCGCTGTGTTTTGTACTGTGAGCTGATATGGACCGTCGTTACCACCGGAGCAAGCGGTGAAGATCCCCTTCTTCATTGCGTGAAAAGCACCAATCGCCATTGAATCCTGGAAGAATTTCTTAGGTGATCCACCAATGGACACTGAAATTACATCCACCCCATCGGCGATTGCCATGTCGAATCCGGCTAACAGATCCATATCCGAGCAACCACCGCCCCAACATACTTTGTAAGCTGCTATGCGAGCCGAGGGCACCCCACCTCGAGCTGTGCCTCTGGCAATACCGTACACGCTTGCACCCCTCACCGGAACACCCGCCGCCGTGGAAGCTGTGTGCGTTCCATGGCCTTCGTTATCCACCGGTGATAGTTTCGGGTCGTGCTTACTTGCGATGTAGGAATATTGTGCGCCAATCAATTTACTGTTGAATTTTCAAAAAAAAAAGATATACATACAAGTTAAAATGAAGGTTATATGTTAAAACTTAAAAATAACAATTTATTTTTGTTTATTTTTCTTTACAGAATTTTATTTCAAAATTTTTATTATAGTATTATAATTTATGAAATCAGAAGCAAAATGGGGTTTAGAAAAAAAATTGTTTTGATTAATTAATATAGTAACACTGGTAAAAAGATTCCATAGTTTAGCAAAATTTGTTTATAGATATAAACGATGTAATATCCATTTTCTTTTTTATTGTTAAAATAATAATAAAATGGTTAATTGGTTTGCAGTTTTATAACAATCACTTTCAAATAATTTATTAACATTTTCAATTAAGTTAAAAGAAAACAATTAAATTATCACAAAACGCTTATTTAAATTAATAGAGTAAATTAGTAGAATGGCGCTTATGGTTTGGAGCATAGTTATCAAAATCGCAATCCTTACGATCCTATGTATGAAAAACGATCCGGATCGTAAAAGAATCGTATTTTGGGTAGGATCGCAGGTAGGATCGTAAGATCGTAGGTAGGATCGAGATCCGATCCGATCCTACCTTTCTTTAATTTTTTTTTTTCAAATGAATTTTTTTTACCATTTTATGTCTTTTACCCTTTACCAATCTACCATTTATCATTTTTATTGTGACTTATGACTAATATTTTAAAGTTTTTATAACTTTTGAACAAAAAATTAAATGTTTGAAATATTTTTTATGATTAATATTATAAATTAAAATTATATTCTATTTTGTGGGATCTTAGGATCTCGATCCCGATCTTACGATTCCGATTTTGCAAACTCAAAAACGATCCTAGGTAGGATCTCAATCTTGACAACCTTGGTTTGGAGTAATTTGAATGTTTGGTTTCTAACTTTTTTTTTAACTCCGAAATTTTTTATTATTTGTTTTTTTACTCGTTTGATTTTAATCTTACCTAAAAATACTATTTTACCATTGATTTTTAATTTATTTAAATAAACACAACCTCAACGTCACTTTCGCCTCCCTTTACATTACATTAACTACCTCACCTTATTTAGATAAATTAAAAAATTAATGAAAAATTAGTCTTTTTAAGTAAAACAGGGACCAAGCGTGCAACAAAAACAAATTGTAGGGACATTTCAAATTAAAAAATTAAGTTAGGAACCAAACGTACAAATTATCCCAAAACATAAGGACCATTCGTCTAATTTACTCAAATTAATAAGTTACTTTTTTTAGTTAACTCCGTCCAAAATCTTAAAAACTATCTATTAACGATACAAATGATAATTGATAATAAATTAATAAATAATCATTTTTAAATAAGCAATCTCAAAACCCCCCATAATATCATTTGGTAAGTTTATTAGCAAGTATAATATCTTATTAAGAAAAAAAATGAAAGGATAGTAAATTTATTTAAAATTATAATACCTAATAAGTAAGAAAAAAAAATAAGTATAATATGGCAAGAGAGAAAACAAAGTATAGGTGTTAATTATAATAGAACCAGTGAAAGAAGTTATACTTGTTGCAACCGGTAAAATTGCCACCCAAGAAGCATTTACCCCTCCATTTTGTAGGAGGAGGACCGTAGCCTTTGTCATTGAAGCTAGGGGATTCCGGCCAAATCCCTGAATAAAATAAGTCACTCAATCAAGATTTCTTTATATCCATCTATCCTATATATAAAAGGATTCTTTTTATTACAAAGAATCATCACCTGTATCAAGAACGCCAATAATTAGATCGCTTTCGGCTGTTATGTTTCTTTGTGTACTCCTTAGTGGCAATCCGATAAAATCCCATGATTTGGTTGTGTGAAGCGGTCGTATGGTGTTTGGGAACACTGATAAGACTCCTTCTTTCTCTGCAACACAATTAAAACCCTTAGAAAAACACCATATTTATAATCTTCTCTAAGAGGCATATTTTGATTGTGATGAGTGATTTACGTGAGAGTAGATTTGCTTCATGAGGTAGTAGATTTGCTACAAATCCATTAAAGCTCCTTCCATAACTATGCAACTTGGAATCTCTTGCTAATATTTCACTGCAAATTAAAAAGGGAATTTGATTGTAACAAAAATACTTGTAGTAAATAATAATAACTAGGCACTTACTCTCCAATGGTCTCTGAAAGAAGACTATGGTGATGATCAACGATAGATGTCATTGTCCTCGTTATAGGAGAAGCTCCCATGTATACTATGTATGGCTACAACAACATTTATGAATTATGAATTATGACAACACAACGCATCAAGTTCATGCATTTTTCCAATATAGATAACAAAAAAAAAAATCAAAAGCACGATGTAATGAAGAATGTTTCTTGAGTCGATGTGACTTGCTTAAAAACTTAAGAATCAGTGCATGCAGTCGGATGGATATGTCTGAATAAAGAAACGGAAAGGGTTTTAGGGTGTTGAAATTTAGTATACCTTTCTTTCATTCTGATCAGATGGATGAGGAAGGGCAATGGTGACAAGACATATACAGAAGAAGATTAAGATATGAAATATTTTGGATCTTCCCATTGATTTGTTGTTCTCTCTGTCTTTAGTTCTCTAACTTGATGAAATTTGAACTTTAGTTTGGGTAGCGTATATATATGCAGAAATATCGAGTATGTGTTGCCTTTCATACAACTAAAATGCCTCCATGTTTCACTCCAATTAGGAGAAGACTGAGTATTACAAGGCTTTAAATGTGGATCTTTAGAGTGGCTACTACCACTTATTAGCGGATATATGTTCTTCTTCAATGAAAATGTATTTACGCCAATTCCCTATGAACAGCATTTCGGATGGTTATTATAAGCAACAACATTTCTGTAGAGTTTCTGTGCATGTTTGTGTGTGTGTGTGTGTGTGTGTGAGAGAGAGAGAGAGAGAGAGAGAGAGAGAGAGAGAGAGAGAGAGAGAGAGAGAGAGAGAGAGAGAGAGAGAGAGAGAGAGAGAGAGAGAGAGAGAATGATGCTTTGTATTGTGAGCTGATATGACAGTCGTTCCCACAAGAGCAAGCAGCGTGATCCCCTTCTTCATTGCGTGAAAAACCCAAATTGTCATTGAATCCTGGAAGAATATCATAGGAGAACCACCGATCAACTCTGAAATTACATATACCTCATCGGCGGTTGCCATGCATGTTGAATTCCGCTAACAAATCCATATCCAAACACTACTAGAAAAAACGAAAATACCTACAGCAAGATTCGTAGGTATACCAGTTTACCTACGGAATTGTGACGAAATGGGTGCCGTAGCATAATTGCTCATGGGTAATTTTTAGCGACGGAATTCCGATGGCAATATTCCGTAGGTAAATTACCGACAGAATACCTACGGCGAGGAATTGCGACGGAATATCGACGACGGACACTTACCTACATATTACCGACGGAAGTCATTTGCGACGACATTCCGACGGAATACCTACGGAATATAGTACCGACGGAATACCTACGAAAAAAAATACCGACAAAATTGTGACAGATTACCTACGGAATTCCCTTTTGACTGGTATGGACTTATTTACCGACGACATTTCCATCGGTATTCCGTCGGTAATAGTCATTTTATTTAATTATTAAATTTAAATATAAAATATTTCCAGTTTTTTTTTTTTTTTTTTTTTTTTGTCAAATATGCAAGATAAGTAAATACAAACATAATAACACTACAATTAAGGTTTCAAAATACACAAAAAGTGTTCCAAATACACCAAGTTTGCAAAATAAGTGGACACATTCATTTGTTCCATTGTCACAACATTCATACCAACTAAAAATTAACAAACATTCATTCCAAATACCAACATGCATAACTTATACGCCATCCTCGGGTGGAGTATGAGGGTGATCATTGGCTTGATTTGTTGTACCATTCATCATCCTCACCATCCTTTCCATTTGTTGTACCATTTGTTCTTGCAATTGTCGCATGTTAGAAACTTCTTCACGTAACCTAGCAAACTAAAAAAATGATAATAACAATGTACTTTAATTTATTATAACAAAATAGCAATGTACTTTTGTTTTTAATCAATTGTATCCATAATAACAAAATACTACTTAACTTGTAAACCATACTAACAATGTACTTTTGTTTATTATCAATGTAATCCATAAGCACAACAAACCACCTAACTTTTAAACCATAATAACAATGTACTTTTGTTTTTAATCAATTTTATCTATAATAACAACATACCCCTTCTTGTGTGTTGTTGTTGGATTGGGTGGACCGGGTAGATTCGGAAGATGTTATCCCAGAAACCACAAAATTGGTATCCGATGCTCCTATACCATAGATATGATACTTCTTTTTTCCTCATGTTCTCCGAATTTGGCTTTCAACCCATACCTGCGCATCGTGCCTATGGTTTGTCGGGTCTTCTCCATATTTCATCACTAACCCCTCTAGATATGCATCCTACAATTTACCAAAACAACACCCTTGTCATATACAAAAAATTGAGATAGTAAATATAAAAAAAAATAATGTACTTTAGCATCTTTGGCTGTTTCAGAGCAATATTCTATATTTTCACTTTCTCCCTCGAAATATGTTTTCTTCGACTCACTGGCGCCATGTGTCTTCACGTATGGATCACAAAATTCGGGATCTTTACCCAGCTGTGCTTTCTACATAAAAGACAAAGTATAATTGATACAGTCAGTGTTAAAAACAAGAATAATAAATTTTACAATTATGATATCAATCAATCTACGACGGTGCTCGGCATATCCTATGCTACCAGCCGTATGCCTTGATGTCTTCCCATTGGAATCAGGGGTGTTCCGGTTCGTCTGAGCATCATCTGACAACTTTTTCCATTTCTCTGTGCTCCAATGTTGTTAAAAGAAATATATATTTAATAATATAATAAGTAATAAAAATCAACAAAATAAAACAATAATATATTGTATCTCTTAGATCACACAAGCGTGACCACACAGACTCTGGTACCATCTGGGGACGGAATTGATACATCTCTGGAAAGTATTTAGAAAAATCTTTTTTAAGTGGTAACCCATCACGCTGTGCCATTCTAGCAGATAACTTCCTCAAATCCCTCATCCGGTCCCTGTATCTTTCCTTGAGGACATTATTGAATGCTATATATATCGTCTCATTCTCCTTTGTGTACCACCTATATTTTGTCTATAAAAAAAGTATACTTAAAAATAGAAAGTAAAAATAAATGAGTTTAAGATACAATAATAAATATTTAATATACTACCCTAAAACGTGCAAACATCTGTTTACGAGTCTTTTTCGTGATGCTCTTATATGTAGGCCACGCATCATCCATACTCTGCCAAAAGAGATCCATAACCGCTGTAACGACCCAATTTTTACGTTCGAAAATTTCATTTTAAAATATTACTTTAGAAAACATTAATAAATAAAAACATTGTTGATCACACCATAACACATCGCAACCATGTTTTAAAAGGTCAAACCATACATCCCATCAAAATATCAGAGTACAATCCCAGTGACTCTCGTAAATGCGGAAGACAGAGTGTGTGCATGACGTGCCGCTACCGTGCCGGCTCCTTCCCCTTCGGTGCAGAGGTACCTGAAAACAAAACTGTAAACGTAAGCACAAAGCTTAGTGAGTTCCCCCAACGTACCACATACCATGCAAACACATAACATAAATACTGCCAGACCATTCTGGGGTGCCGACCTACCCATACGGCCATTCTGGGGTGTCGTCCTACCCGTGTCAAGCCATTCTGGGGTGCTGACTACCCATCGGTCCTAACAACCGATCCTCGGGGACTGGTCCCCTCCCGCTACCTCTATCGCATAACATAACAGGCCAACATACAAGCATACCATCACATACGGTCAGATGTTTCTAGGGTGTCTGACTACCCTGCGGCCCTAACAACCGAACTCTACTACTATTGCATATAACGTATCATGAGAGCATATAACATAACAGGTAATAGCAAACCTAGATGATATCACAAAGCAATCATCTATCGTACGTCCCCTACTGGTGGGCCGGCATTGTGGCCTTAGGCCCACCACTACTGGAAGGTAACTCACCTCAAAGTAGCTGCTGAACTGATCGGGAACTAACTGACTGCTGCTGCTCCGGGAGTCCTCCGGCTGCAATTCCCACAACATACTCAATCAAACACTGCTAACTGTCCTTTAGGTAAAATGACCATTTTACCCCCAGTCTAGCTCTAAGTCAATGTTAGAGTCAACTTTCAATTGACCCGACTCGCCGAGTGGATCTCCACTCGCCGAGTCCCTAGCAAACTATTGTCCTGGGTCCCTGATTCTACTCGTCGAGTTGGGCTATGACTCGACGAGTTCATCTTCTAAACTGTCATTCAACTCCTTCATCCTACTCGCCGAGTTGTATGAACAACTCGTCGAGTTCATCTTCATCCGAAGAACACATATGCTAAGACTCGCCGAGTTGTATGAACAACTCACCGAGTCTGTTCCTGATCTATAAAGATTGCCTTGGACCCGCCGAGTCAGGCATTGACTCGCCGAGTCCTATCATGAGTGAGTCCAGCTCCCAACTCACCGAGTCACCCCCCTGTGACTCACGGCTCAACTCGATACATCATGAAGGGACCAATTCGGTGACTCGCGACCAGACTTGTCGAGTCACCTATACGACTCGCCGAGTCGTCGCCATGCATCCTCCAAATACACCGATTTACTCGATTTCAGTTCATGCCATTCATAGATCTGGACTTCTAGGATACCAATCACACGTCAAGTTTCCAACTTTACGTGTGGATACTCACTAATATGGATTTTAGGGTTCCAAATGCCTCAAAAGGGTAGATCTAGGATGAACAAGCCACATGGGGCCATAAAGCTAACAGATCTGAGCTCCTGGAGCTCAATCTTGCCTAGATCTAAAGGCCCATCCACTTATTACGAAACATTAAGCACAAACAAGCTTGAGGAATTGCTCAAGAGTGTCTTAAATGAAATCTTAAGCATAGAAACAGGGGGAAAACGAGATATACCTCAATGAAACAGCTGAAAAACACAATGATGCTTGGATGGCTCTCCTTCCTCTTGATCTCCTTCCCCTTCTTGCCTCAAAACCTTCAAGAATGCACACAAGAGCCTCAAATTCACAAGAACAAGCTTAGGACGAGTTAGGACGAGGGTTGGGAGCTCTGGGGGTGAATGGGGGCTGGCAAGGGGCAGATATGGGGTTTAAATAGGGTGCAAACCCCTAAAACTTAGGGTTTCATCCAACAGCGGTGACTCGCCGAGTCCAGGATATGGACTCGCCGAGTCGCCAACTTAAACGTGTCCTGCGTCTCGTCCCTACTCGGCGAGTCGGACCTAGTGACTCGCCGAGTCCAAGGCTAAAATAGGGCAATACTCAAATAAAATTCACATACCGGAAACCAGGTGCTACAACCGCGCTCTGGATAGAATGATCACCAAAACTACAAAAAAAAACATATATAAGTGTAATTACAACATTAAAAATTAAATATTTAAAAGATGAAAACACTAACTTATCACCTTCTTTGTGGATAATGGGCAACGATGAGTCATCAAAATCACCAACATTAGAGCCATGATCACCTGAAATATCTCTGGAGGCGGAGCCATGTGGCGTCAGTGGTGTGTGTGGCATGACCGGTGTATCTGGCATCGGCATCTCTATGCCTCCAGCCTCAAAAAAAATAATCCCGAAACCCATCACAACCATGGGTTCTCAATACTGTAGGTGAGGTCTGACAACCCCTTTGTGGGTGGAGGGGTGGGGGCAGGGGTGGGGGTGAGGGTTGGAACCCATAGTCTGTCTGTGTAAGTGGAGGTCGGGGCCTATAGCCTATCTGTAAGGGATGTAATCGATGGCTCATCTGTTGGGGTTGGGGCTGGGGCTGGGACACATAGCCCATCTGTTGAGCCTGGCGCATAACCCTAGCTAAGTCTGCTAGAGGATCAACCATGTTGGTTTGCGGAGAAATGGCACCTTGACTATTGGAGCCTGCGACTCCAATGATCATAGGCATGTCGATCGGTGTGAGCAACATCGTATGACGTGGCTCATTAGTAGAATTAGGGGATGCCCTCCCCCTACGCCCCGTACTGCCAGAAGAAGGGTTGTTCTTCCGGCCTTTATCATTCCGTCCATTACCCGACATGCTGCATTTAATAGAACAAGAATGGTCAGATATATAATATAAGATTCATAAGTCAAGACAAAACAAATGTTTAAAACAACGAGATGTCCATACCAAACTCATTACAAAAACAATGTTTCATTATAAGGTTTAAAAAAGACAATGCTCCTAACATCAACAAATACAATGCTCCTAACATAAACAAAAGATAATGCTCCTAATATTCGTCCCCATCATCTTCATCTTCAAATTCTTCTTCTCTTCTTCCGAATAAAACAACTCGTTTCCATAATCTTCATCTTCAGAACCTTCCTTTTCTTCGTCTTCCTCCCTAGATCCCTCATTCTTGTCATCAGATATTTGCTCATATGTATTTATAGTTGAGGCTAGGCACAATCGTTCTGCACGAGTTATAGTAACATGTGACTCAAACCGTTCTTCACCGTAAAAGATTTCTTCTTCTTCCATTTCAGCTTCGGTGACTTCAAATACCCCTCTTGGTTTTGTTTTGATAACTGCCCACTTATCTTTCATCTCATTTACCATTGAAGGGTATGGCGTATAAAAGACTTGTTCTTCTTGTGATGCCAAACAAAATGGGTCGTTAGTTTGAAGTCGAGAGTTGGTTTTGACATCAATCAACTTGTTTTTGTTGACTATTACACCATCTTTATTATCAAACCAAATACAATTAAATAGAACAACAGTCGAGGGCTCGCTACTATAATACTCAACCTCTAAGATCTCTTGCAATATGCCATAGTAATCTGACTCATGTTCATCATTATAAGTCTCCCCTCTCACAAATACTCCAAAGTTATCCGTCACACGACCCTCACCGTATTGTTAAGTGTGGAACTTATAACCATTTACAAAATACGCATTATGAAAATGAGCATGTCTTGATGGTTTCTCAGCTATAACTTCTAAGTGTTTAGCACTTCCATCGAGTGTCTTATTCATTACCTAAAATGTAAACATACACACATTGTGTTGGTTAATGATGCGTAAATAATAATCATTACTAAAGAATTGGATCTACTTACTCTGTCTTCAAACCATTCAGCAAAGAATTTATCTCTTAAATCTAAAACCGATTCATTTGGATTCGTTGTCATGACCAACTCATCAAACTCGAGGATTTAAGGGTTAACTTCTTTACAATTAATTAATATGTAGGTGTGCGCCTTGTGAAGGTCTTTATCACTCAAGGGTTTTCGTTTTCCACTTTTTTTTATATAATCTTCTTGATGGGATGACAAAGATGCTAAGTGGAGCTTCTCCACTCGAAAACCTATGACTTTGCGGTGCGAAATTTCATGCCTCTCGATTATGGCATGTCTCAACCGTCGGGTCAAAATATAAAGAACAATAGGTAGCAAGTTCATTGACTAGATGTTCATTGACGATTGAACCCTCAACCCTTGCTTTGTTCCTAATTCTTCTTTTAATTATGCCCAGTTTACTATATTTAAAAAGTATGAATGATATCTTAGGAATACCACAAATAACTTTAAAATGTTGGATATATAATACTAAAATAGGGTGATTACCTCTCGTATTGATACATCCATCTGTATTGTACCGGACCACCAACAATAGCTTCATCTGCTAAATGTATGACTAAGTGTTCCATGGAATCAAAGAAGCTAGGAGGGAATATTTGCTCCAACTTGCACATGGTTTGAATAATACTACGTTTCATATCGAACAAGTCGCAAACATGCAACGTTTTCGAGCATAATACTCGAAAGTACATAGATATCTCCGATATGACCTCGTATATTTTTGTTGAAACAAACCCTCTTACGGCTAGGGAAGCAACCGTTGCATAAACACGTGACAGTTGTGGCTTTTGAAACCATAAAAACTATAATCTTTGATGTTTACGCAGTTCCCGATATTAGATGCTTACCCGTCAGGAAATTTGAGATTTTCAACCAAGCACATACTTTTTTAACATTGTCCTTTTTCAATGTGTAATCTCCAGGCTTCTTCCGAGTCTTCCTATTGTTTTCCCTGATGGGGTTTAGTATAGGTCGGTCACAAAGCATCTCAATATCCTCTCTTGCCTTTATATTGTCTCTGGACTTTGGGGTGCCCATTGAAGTCTGAAACATATTTTCAAAAAAATTCTTCTCAATATGCATCAAATCGAGGTTGTGTCAGATCAACAGGTGACGCCAATATGGAAGCTCCCAAAGGATGCTCTTTTTACCCAGTTGTGTGTAATACCAAAACCATAGGTTTTGTATAATTTGGACCATAAGGAGTACCGTTGTATACAGTGGGGAAATGTTGGATTTTCTCCCAAATATATTCTCCGGTTGGGTACGGAACAAGCACTTCATGACCCTTCACTTTCTTGCCTTTTAAAAAATTAATTGTATCATTTTGGAATATGTGTCTTTCGGGTAGATGTTTTCTATGACAGTCAAATCAACATGGTTTTTGTCCATTGGAAAGTCGGAATGATTATGTTTGGTGCATGCAATAAGGGCAAACTAAAGTACCATGCGTGCTCCATCCGGATAGCATTGCATAAGCAGGAAAGTCACTAACTATCCATAAAAGTAACACCTTCATCTGGAAATTGGTCATTCGATAGGCATCATATGTTTCAATGCCATCTGTGAACAACATCTTCAACTCGTCAATCAAAGGTTGTAAAAAAAACATCCAAATTCTGTCTGGGGCTCTTCTTCCCGGGAATGATCAACGGAAGTTGTATGTACTGATGTTTAAAAGCCAACCAAGGGGGTAGGTTGTAAATAGTGTTAAACACCGGCCAACATGAATAGGGAGTTGTGTTTGAATTGTTAGGACTAAACCCATCGATGCACAACCCGAGACGAATTTTGCACGTCTCTTTTGCAAAATCAGGAAAGGTTCTATCAAAATGATTTCATGCTTTACCTTCACTGGGATGTATCATCTTTTCTGGATCTACTGGATGATCTGAATGCCAAGTTAAATGTTTGGCTGTCTTCCTTGAATAGAACAGCTTTTGAAGTCTCGGTCCAATCGGCATGTAAGTCAAGACCAAATTAGGAACCTTCATCCCTTTGTCTTTGTATCTATTTTCGCCACATACTACATAATGATCCAGCTCAACAAACTGACCCCTGAATAGCATGCAATGGTTTATACATACATGAATTCATTGTGAAGGCAATTTTAGTGGCTTTAACATTTTCTTGGTCTCGTAGAAGCTATTAGGAAGCTTCTCGCCTGTCACAACTAGAAATTTTGTGTCTTGTAATCACTATACTCAAGTAAATGTTGAATTCAAAAACTCAAAAGCATGTATGATGCTTACTCAATGGAAAACTAAACCCCAATTCACTACATCAAGCAATTGGAAACCCTAGAAGTTCTTAATTAGGTCCATTTTGGACTAGGACTTCCTTATTGGACCTAAATGGACCAATAAGCTTCCAATTTGACTATCATGGGCTTAGAACCCTTAAATGGGCTCTAATTGGACCCACATCTATTTATTTCAACATTTTGGGCTATATTGGGCCTAGAATGAAATAAATTCAAATTTTGGAACCATGATTAACCTAAACTAGCCCAACAAAGTGTAAAAATCATATTATATTTTTTTTAGGTTAAAACTCATCCAACTTAATATACACATGGGCTTGTGGGCATTAAAGCCCAAATTTTCCCTTTTTCCCTCCAAATTCTCGGCCCAAGGCCCAAGCCCAAGAAGCAATGAAGAGAGTTGACTTGTAATTGACACCTCATTATTGTCTTTTGGATCTCCATGCAACCCATTCCATGTATCCATGCATATCACTTCATGTCTATTTCTCCCTCTCTCTTCTTGTTTCGGCCGTGAGCAACACACACACACACAAATCTCTCACAAACTCTCTCTAGATCACTCAAGACTTCTCTCTTCCTCTCCATCTAAAATCTCGAAATTGGCTTGTGTTTCAAGAGGATTCTTCAAGATTATCATCATCCTTTGGTAAGTTTTTCCATGTCTAAGCTTCAAAACTTCCCCCTCACATGAGATCTCTTATTCTAAACAAGTTTCTTTGGTGATCATACTCCTAGAAAACTCCATAAACTCGAGATCTTCATCAAGGGGTGCTAGGGCCGAAAAATCACTTCATTTCTTCCATCCTTTCTTCAAAAACCGAATCAACACCCAAGGTGAGCTTCATACCCCCTTATTTTCGGTTTTTATGAGTTTTTGTGGGGGAGAATACAAGCAAAGGTGTAGATCCATCACTATGTTTTGGTTGATTTCTATGCTTATATGTATGTTTTGTATGATTTTGATGCTAGATCTAGTTATGAATTGCTAAAAACCGAGATATATCTTATACTAGCATAAAATATACTACTACATGCAAAGTATACCAAGAAAAATAGCCAAATGGCTTGACAACACTTATCTTGGGCTAAAAACACATTTTTTTTGACACAAAATGCTAAAAATACAAAGTTGAAGGGCCAAAAATGAAATATTACGAAATCTGATGGGTGAGATGAGTCAAAACAGTTTCCATAATGTATTTTCTGAAAATATACTATTTGGAGGATTAAAAGGATAAATTTCAAGCTTAATGGGCTAAAAATGATAATTTCGGCCCAATAGGGCCCATTATGCGAAATTTTCTGTTTTGGAGGGCCAAAACTGTGTTTTTCTGTAAAACAATGGACCATTAGTGTCACAAGTACTTTTCAAAGGTTTAAAATGCTTTTCAAATTTAAAAAGGACCAAAGTTGCAAAAAATTTCCAATTTGGGCCAAAAATGTAAAAATTTCGAAAAAGAGGGGTTACAACCGAGAAAACTGCAATTTCAGGGACTTAAACTGTTTTCAATGAAAAGTATGCTGAAAAATATTAATTTCAATAATTTTTGGTGTTAAAATGTCAAGAAAAATGGTTTAAGGACTAAACCGGAAATTATTTTACCTAAAGGGGTGAAAAAGTAAATTTACAAAATGAAGAGGGTTTGTAAACAGAAAATTTCCAATGATAATTCAATACACTAGTTGTG